CTGCATACTTGAACAACTTAATTGAACAGTATTAAATTTGTGAAATGTCAAGTTGAAAAACAGGGTATGTTGTAAGAATTTTTATAACTCAAAGTGATAAGTTAATTAGCAGCATTCTGATATCTCGGTATGCTTGTTCACTGCCAGCTAGGTTAAGACCTTTCAATTTTTAAAATAAATCCCTGTCAAAATGGATAGCATTTTGGTTATCCAAATTTCTTTTATGCTATAGTTGCAAGCTATCCAGTCTCAAAACACAATGTTTTCTCTACTTTCCAGTACATCAGTTTCTCATATTTTAGTGTATTATCAGTAGACATTTTGCCAAATAATTTTCTTTCTAATACTCTCCCTAAAAGAGCAAGATGTGATGCATATGTGTTTAACTTTGTCACCTACCACAAAAATGTTTTAGCCATTTCTTGTAACTTAGAAATTGTTTTAAGTATAGCATGCATAATATTGACCACCATTCATGTTATGGGTCCAGTTTATTTATTACGACTTAATCTGTTTTTCTCATTGCCATTGTGCACACATTCACCTTTTGCTTTCACTTTCATTCTTAATCAAACTTTAAAAAAAAAAAAGCTTTCATGAAAGCTGTGGAAAGTTATTCTGCTCTGATTTTGAAGTATTTCTCTTCCTTGATATATTTTCTTGATATATTTTAACAAGCTTGATTTGACTGACAATAAGTTTTATGTTATTCAACTCTGATGTAAACATAATCCAAAAATATCTTGGCTTTTTGCAGAAGTTTTTGTTCATTGTAATGGAAAATTTTCCTGTAAAGATTTAAGTGATTGACCATAAACTATAGTTATTTATTCTAACTGCTGGTCCATTGCCTTTATTTTTATTTCTTTTATTTCAAGATTTTTTACTTTTTTCTTCCTATACTTCCACTATTGTTTTCTACTTATGAAAATAGCATGACTTTTTTCTTTAGGCATTTATTTTACAACAGTAACTGTATATTTCAAGGAGATAAGTTAACTTCATCCATATCTTGTGTAAGTTGAAATAAATCTGCTAGTGATATTGTTTTTTTTTCATTCAAGTTTTCTATCAGCTGCATTTATTGGATACATTGCTAGTTTTACAGTCAGAAAAGAAGTGACAGTCTATACCTTGTATGTTTTGCTCAGAAATCCCTACTACTACTACTGAGATATTTATGAAGTGATTCTACCTTGGGGAAATAACATTTTCCTTCTAAGACATGTTCAAACAATCCAACAAGCTACATTTATACTGTATATCATTTGTGTACATCAGGAAATTTTAAGATGACAAATGTACTAAACATTCAGTTCAATGCATTACATACTTTGAAAAGCTGGATTTTTTTTTCTTTGCAAGTGCAGTTTTTTCTGATATGTAAATGTGGCAAAATCTTTATCTTTTCACATATCTACAAAAGGTAAATTAAAAAATGCTTAGAGGAGCATCTTAAATAAAAACCTTTCCTTATTTTTTTTATTTTAATAGCAGTTAAATTCTTTCTTCATCTGTAATAAGTTAAGACAGATTAATTTTATCTGCTTATTATGACAAGATCTTGATTTGTCTTTCTGAGCACTTAAAATAGATTTTACAGTTTGCTGTGACTTCAATAATTTGACTTTAAAATTCAGGTCACCTGATAAGATTTTGGCTATTTGTGTTGCCAAATGATAATTTGGTATGGAAGGCTGCAAAGTGTTTTTTCCAGGAAAATAAAGCCTTTAAAATAATTCTGATTCTGGGGAAAAAATAATCTATAATTTTCAATCATAAGTGAAGCACTTAGTTTAGTAGACTAATACTGTTAAAGTCGAAATTGATCCAAATCAAGTTTCTTTGAGCTTTGAGTCATTATGTATTTGTTCTGAGATAGTGAACTGATCTAATAATTAAAATATGAATAAATATTGGGAGAATTTGTTTACCTTTTTTTTTTTTATTATGATAGAAAAATTATTTTTTAACATAGGATAAAATTGTAAAAATTATAAACACCTGTTGCACTAGATCTCTTTAATCTCAACCAAGTGTTTTAGCTGACTCATTATTTGAAAATGATATGGGAAATTGTGGTGTGGATATCATAGTTGCAAATATTGGTTAAATCTAACAATAATTAAATAAGGAACAAGTAGGACAATTTATAAATTTAACATTTTGCTATTTATCAGAAATTCTTGGAAGTAGAATGATGTGGAAATATGTTTCAATTTAAAAATTCTATATTGTTTTGTTTTCATTGGTTTTAATAATGTTTTATCATCTTTGGAACAACATTAACTTCAACCCCTGGGATGTGATTTAACAGTAATACTCTTTACTGAATGGATACCATAGTTGCCAGTTAATAGCACTTTTGACTTGCCATTTAGTAGAATTCTAATATTTCTTCCATATGGTTGCTACAGAAATACCTAAAGTAATCGCATCATCTGATATAATGCCTTTTTTTTTTTTTTTTTTTTTCATGGTCCTACAGAACTAAGCCCTGTTCATACATCATTATAACACCTTTTGCCAGTGCCTACATCCAGTCATGTAACTATGTTTTAGTGGTTCAGACCTCGGGTTCTTAGAACAACGTTTTAACCCTGGGGCTTAACTCTGCACTGGTCCAAGCAAGTTGTTGGCCACTGGCCGCTTCAATCCATACCAACTCTGCCCACACTGTGTTCTTAATCATAGAACAGTGGAAAATCGAAGGTCATAGTCCTGCAGTGCTGTTTCAAGCCATGGTGGATGCTATATTAAGAAAAAATACATCTTCGTGATGAAAAATAAAACAAGAGATTCATGGGGTTAACTTCAATTGGTTTATATAGCTCAATGCAACAAAAATTAACCATTCCCACATCAATCTCTATAGTAACACTGGGCCTTGTCTAAACTTCTGGAGGAGCTAGGTTCAAAGAATTAGAATTGGGAAATCTGGTGGCAGCTGACCTGGATTTCAGGGGCATTCTATGCAGATTCTCAGCTCAAATCTCTGAGCTCCTCAAAATCATCTGCTTATTTGCACTTTGGCCCAAAACTGTCATGGGACCCAATGGGTTCTGGGGATTCAGTGATTCCCCAATTTTCATTAATTCCAATAAAGGTATTCTTTGTTCCGTATTTCTGCTTTCTTAATCAACTTTCCAAATTTGGAGAATTATCTACCTCGCTTGGGAGTAGAAACAGGAATTGCTCCTCCCTTAACTCCAACCTGCTTCACTTCACACCACTACTCCACACAGGTGTGGCTAAATTCTTCCTCTTACTACTTCCTTCTTAGTATTCTAACTCTGCCCTCTTCTCAAAGCTGGCATAAGTGTCTTTGTGACAAACCTAATTTCTAAAGTGTGTAGGTGAAAGGGCATAGTTTATTCTCTTTATCTAATACTTTACAATTTAAATGCTTCATTGTTTAACATATTAAAGTTAAAAAAAGAACTTTTAATTTATTTCTGTAATCCTCTTATTCGATGAGTTTCATTTTTTTTTTTTTTTTTTTTTTTTTCAGAACATAGGCAATTATGTTTCTCTGTAGCTTCCTACTTTCTTATATTTGTTATTCCTCATTCTCTTATACTTGTAATTCCAAGAACAAGATATCCATTTAAACAAGAATCAAATTTTATATGTGGACTGTAATGTGTAATTGTCTTAAGATGACTTGTCTGGAGAATATACATCATGTGGATGAATTTCCTGTCCCAGCTTCATGAGTATTTGTCACATTTTCAAAGCAGCCAAATCATCTGCCCAAAGTTTCTTCTTTTTTTTTTTTTTTTTTTTTTTTTTTTTTCCCAATGTACAGTTCAAACAAGCCATGCAGTATTGAACAGTGACAGTTTGTTTATATTCTAGCAATTAAAGCATTCCCCCAATCTTATGTTTACTCTTTGGGTTGAAATGTTAAAGACTGAGATCTAGCCACAATTTTATTTGCTTTAAATTCTTGTGATAAAGTAATTTTTCATTACTGGAGTGAGTATTCTGTACAAAAATGACTTTCTTGTTGAGCAAAAGGTGAAAGACAAGTGTTTAAATATTGTCAAAGTTCCTTTTCATAAGTTTATGCAGATCCTATTTTCTTGACCCCTGAATTTTTCGTAAGAAAAAGATAAGATCTATACTTTTCAACTAGTATGCATTTCATGCCTACATTTAAGTCAGACTATTTTGTAACTCAAATATGTACTTGTTTTTTGTTTTTTTTTTTGTTTACCATCTCAAATTTGGTCAGAATCTTGTAAGAATTTCTAGAACTATTCCATTATTTAAATATACAAAATAAAAAAAATCTGTTACGAGTCATGGATATCTTCCTGGTTGCTTTTGGCATCTAGTTTAATTGGCCAGAGGCCAAATATTCAATGGTTTATATTCTTGACAGCTTGGCTGACTGGCCAGTGGGCAGCTGGCATCATTTCTTTCTATTCATTATATATACAGTTCTACTATCCCTTCATCTCTACTCTAACAGGTTCTGTTCTTTGTCCTTCTCAGTGTTCTAGAAGGCAGATAAAATTGGAATTTTGTTATTTCTTTGAATAAATTTCAAATTTTCATTGCTGTTTTTTTTTTTTTTTTTTTTTTTTTTTATAACAACATATATTTTTCCTTTTAACATAATGCAAAATCTGTTGTGGTCTCTGTCATAAAGACTGATAATTGTTTTCATAGCAATGATTACTCAATCATCTTAATTGATCATGTACTTAGGATTAGCTTCTTTTTTTTTTTTTTTTTTTTTTCATGATTCAATTTTTTCCAGCCTAAAATAATAGATCTTATTTGATATATTAAGGTGATTGTTTATCTCATAACTTATATCAGAATTAATAAATTATTCCAATTTTCACTTTAGTTCTTATTAGATCAGTCAAGTGTGTTTTTGTTTTTTTGTTTTTTTTATCTAATTAGCTTTTGTTTTGTTTTTTTATTTTTAGTATGCAACTGCTTGGAAACTTTTTTTTCTATAAGACTTTTTATATTCTATATTTCAGCTTTGGCCTTAGCAACAGATTTGATACAGAATTCCCTTCATCACTTTCAGCCAAGGTAAGCTACTGTCTGTTATTGCATTAATATACTCTATTTTAAACATAAATATTGATCAGTCATATGAAATAGTCTCTTTGTTACTTGAATGTTCTCAAGTTTCATGTTTTAATATTTAACCTTCTTGCTAATGTAGCTCTGTAACATAAATAATGAACAATTGCATGATATGCTTTAGTTGATAAGCATTGTCAATCAAGCAGCTGCTTGTTATCAACAGATATTTCTCAGCTTTTCCTGGAAAAGGTTAAGATAGGTACCTCCACGAGATCGCTAAAAAAGAGTATAGCATGATGAAAAAGACGCCAAACTTGACGAAAACAAAATTTTATCGTCTAAATGTTTGTTATTATTAAGAGGAAAGATCAAAGTATTTTTGGGGTATTTTTTCCATTTTTTAATCGTTCCTAGCACGTCCGAAATATTCGTTAAAAATCTAGTTTTTTTGAGTCAGCAAAATTGACCTTTTTTTTTTTTTTTTTTCCATTTTAAAAAAACAAAAAAAAACTGGAAATCTCACTTTGAAATTCTTTTAAATATCAATTATCATTTTTTCAAAATTTATTTTAAGAAAATCAGAAATTATAATATTTATTTAAAATATTTTGAACCAAACTTAACTTAGTTTTTGTGCCAAAAAGATGTAATTTGAAAATAAAACAAAGCAGGTCATAAACTTTCGTGTCTCTTGACAGATGATGAATGACATATTTACGAATTCCATGAGGCTAATTTGTTCTACGGAAGGAGAAAAGTGAACAAATTATTTACCTCGTTATTTTTAACGAAAACTTTCAGCGGTCTATTTTTTTTTTTTTTTTTTTTTTTTTTTTTTTTTGTACTTAGCTTTCACTTTTATGTTTATGATGCTTTATGGAAAATATATTATAAAGAAATTAAAATAAGACTGTTAAGAGTGACATTAAATTTCATATTTCCTAAGAAAGGTATCTAATTAATTTATAGGTACCTTTCTTATGAAATTTTATCAGAACTGTACATAAAATACTATAATTTTATATACATTTATTACATTTTACTGTTATTTGTATTTGCATTCATTTTATTATTAATTTTGATATTTCATTTATGGAAAAATGTCATAACTGAGATTAATATAAAAATAAGATCATATAAACTTCATAAGATGATACTGATACTTGTAAGTACCCTTCTCAGTTGAAATTGAAAAATCAGATTAACTTCTCCACACGTGTTTCGCAAAAATAAAGGCCTTAACAGCGGAGAACAATGCTTAACTCAAATAACGCAACTTAATTGTATTCTGGTTGGTCTTCCGTACTTTATAATTACAGCCCAGTTATAAGCACAAAATTAAATTTCTTAATTTCTGATTAGTCAAAATGATACAATTTACAACGCGCTAAAAAAAAGATCTATCTCATAAGAACACTTAGGAAAGCTGATGCAGCTTTTAACTAATTTTATAATAATTTGTCAACTTAAATGTAAAATCTATTATAATTAAAGAAATAACAAATAATTGTATTAAAAATTCATTTTTCAGTGAAAAAAATTTTTTGCTTTCAGAAAATATTGTCCATATTCATAAAAACAACTAAAAGCAAATAAAAGCATTTGAAATTAAATAATATCTTTGTTTTATTGAGTTTTGTATGTTACAATTCAGAGCTGATTTTCAGGTACTGCATATCCAATTAAAAACAAAAAAAACACATGATTTGCATTCCTCAAAGCCCTGTGCTTTTAATTATTGTAATCACTAAAACCGATGCGATCGAATTTCTAGCGTTTTCATAAAATTAGTTATGGGGGGTAATAAATATTTAAAAAAAATATTTCTACCATGACTTTAATAAAAAAAAAAACATATTTATAATAATTTTGATCATCTGTGAATAGTTTCTGAAAGTTTCATTAACATCCGACAACTATTTCTATTTTTGCACGATTTTTCAAATTAATGTGTGTCATACCAAAAAAAACGTGCTAAAAATTGTCTGTTATTTACTAGTTCTGCTGATACAAATAGAAACAAGGTTTTTTAATCAAAATTTAGAATGTTCAAAAAAAAGAAGGAAATTTTTTTTAAAAATAATTAAAAAAAACTTTGGTCTTTCCTCTTAATAATAACATAAGCATTTAGACAATAAAATTTTCGGCAAGGTTGGAGTCTTTTTCATCAAGCTATGCTCTTTTTTTAGTGATTTCGTGGAGGTACCTAGGTTAAGAGTAGTTATTTTGTATTTCTTTGTTAAAGAAAATTGTTTTAAATAAGCTCATAAAAATGTAGCCTCAGCCATAATTTGGACATTTTATTTAGATTACTATAGTGAAATAAACTTGAGAAATATGTCCATTATTTCAGTTATCAATTTTTTATAAAAGATGTTTTAATGTTACATCATCATATCCTGACATTGGTTAAAATTAATCTTTATGTATTACTTTTAAGTATATAATGCTTTTAATAGTATTTTCCCACATTTTATATTCAAACTCTTCACATTTGTGGGCTTATTTTCTTGGGGTTAGTTCCACATTTTACAATCCAGATTGGCATCTGGCAGGGTATAGACATGTCTCACTGGCAGAATGAGCCCTTCAATCTTGGTAGTAGGGCTAAAAACACCCATTGAATTTAATGAGGGCTGATGTTCTTCATTTTTGAGTAGCCTTTGTAACCCACCTCTTCTCTCTTGGGCCCTTTTAGTCATCATTTATGAGCATGCTTGTCTTAGTGGTTAGGCACTGCACTTGGTTTCCTAGCTGTGTGTGATGATTTGGATGACAAGGTCATTCTTTGCTAAATAAAGTTTCTCGACTTTTTTCCAAAAATAATGCCTCCAGAATAGTCTCCTCCTTTTGAATTTGATCCCTTTCAAAAAGTATCAGCCAAGCCCAAACAGTCAGCTTTGGTAGACAGTTTAATGTGTTGCTGTCATTACTCCCTATAATTACTACTTCCATCCTTATCACTGAAACTGGTATAGCAAGATTCATGCTACCTTCAGAGCTGCCTGCAACCATTACAAAAGAGTTCTAAAGGATGCTAAGGTCAGCTATAGTCAGTCCAAGCCAGAGTTAACAACAAAAGATTTAGTTTCCATGAGTCTTGGAGAATCACTAACAAGCTTCTCTAGAGACGCAAATCATTTGTACCTACTGTTTTTAATGACTCTGAAGGTATTTCATCTTTTGTCTGACAAAGCAGAACTCTTTGCAATGAACTTTACCTCAAATTCCACATTTGACAACCAAAGCTATCCTCTACCTGACTTCCCTCCTTTTACTGAGCTCAAGCTTTGTTACCTCACTATCTTAGCTCAGGTAGTTAAAAAAAAAAAAAAAAAAAAAAATTCTACAAAGGCTACTGGCCCAGATAAAATTTCAGTTCTTAAAAACCTTAACAAGAATTATCTCTAATATTGACAAAGTGGTTTAACCATTGGCTGAAAGAGAAATGTTTACATATAAATGGGAGGGTGGAAATTTTCCATAAAAGAAAATAATTCTTATTAAGTTGTATTTGTCTTACTAAATTGTGATGCCATTGTTTTTTTGTGTTGCCTAGGAATATCAATAATATTTGATTTTTATCTTTCTTTCTTTATTTATTTTTTTTCCTTTCCTCTCATCCTGTCTAGGTGGCTCCTGAAGAATTTAAAGCCACAATGTTTCGTATCAACAGTGTTCTTAGAAAAGCTCTGCCTGTTAATGTCAAGTGGCTGTTTTGTGGGTGTGTTTGCTGCTGCTGTACCCTGGGCTGCTCCCTTTGGCCAGTTGTTTGTTTAAGTAAACGGGTAAGTCAATCAAAAAATTTGAGAAAGAAAGAATGGAACATCTTGGATATACTCAGTTCATTTACTTAGAAAAGAAAATGCATGTGACATGATTTTGATTAGAGAAGATAGTTTTCTTTACAGACAGTAGAATTTGAAGTACTGCTTCACTGATGTGGTAAAAAAATATTTTACTCTTATTTTCAAAATACCCAAACACTTCCCCACTTACAACACTCTTTCAATGTTCATTTTTGAGCATGTGTTTCCAAATATTGAAAATGTGATCTCACATAAAGGAAAATGTACACTGAACTAGTTCATCACATGATATTAATCACTAGCAGTAGCACCCGGCGTTGCCCAGGGATGTAACAGTAAGAGATAGATCAAGTATCAACCATCATAAAGACTGAAAAATAAAATTGACAAAGATCATTGTTTAAGGTTGGCGGACATGCATGTCTTATTTAGTTTTTTTTTTTTTTTTTTTTTTTTTTTGAAATTAGTCAAACTCAAACATTGTTTTCAATTGTTATGAGTCTATCGATTGAATAAATTTTATTATAAACAATTGTCTTGTAAATGGGATTTTTAAAGCATTCTGAATGTAAAATAAAGAAAAAAGTGTGCAAAAACAATAAGAAACACTACCTGCCAAAAAAAAAAGTGAAGTTTTTGTTGAAATCGTTTGAAAATGTAGGAAATCTGATCCCATATATAAACGAACACACATACACACAAACAACCTGGGTTTATAATAAGTATAACTGATATGAGTTGTCCCCTTTCATTCTGGTGACAGAATTGTGTTTTATCGTGTTTTCAAATTGATTTTATGCAAAACAATTTTTTTTTCCAATTTTGGTGCTGTCAGAACCACCATAATGTAATTTTATATGGTCCTGTGAAGTTTTGTTGAAATCGGTTGAAAAAGTGTGGAAATCCGATCCAATATATAAACGTACAGACACACACAATCTGCGTTTTATAAGAAGTAAGATGATCTAACAAATCGTATTCATTTAGTAGCCTTTCTGTAATCTTTTACAATTTATGATTTTTACTTATTGAATACAGTAAAAATATTTGGACACCATATGTATTTAAAGTAGTTTCCGGTTATTATTTTTAGTTAGGAGGACTTGTGTATGTTTAGATTTCATCTGTTTACTTTTTGTGTATCGTTCTCTGAAAAAAAAAAAAACGCTGAATCACCGGAAGTTAGCAGCATTTGGACATTTAAGTAGCCGGCAGTAACTCTGGCCAGGTGCGATACACTTAACTGTGCTTTCAAATTGATTTTGTGCAAAACCAATTGTTTTTCCAATATTTGGCGCTGTTAGAACCACCGCAAGGTAATTTTATGTAGTCCTGTGAAGTTTTGTTAAAATCGGTTGAAAAATGTAAGATCCAATATATAAACATACATACACACACACACAATCTGCGTTTTATAATAAGTAAGATAAACATTTTTACTCCACTACCCAACATTCACACACACATTTTTTTTCTTACCTAATACACTGAACTTTCAAAGACACAAAATTTATAGCATACACATTTAAGAAATAAAAATATCACCTAATTTGTATACAGATTGGCAATATCAACTAGTTTGTGTATATTCCAATCTTGTCATGCTGTCCCATTTTCTGATGCCAATAATGCTTCTTTCTTTTTATTTCCTAAATATGGGTGGGGAGTAGGAAAAGGTTCCTGGCATTTATTTGTCACAAATATTAGTCATTATCGGTAACAAGTGCCTAAATTGAATGAGCAGATTCAAATTTTCAAATTAACTACTACCAACGAAATATTTCAGAAACTCCATTTTTACATTTTTACTATCTTTCTCTTGTTACAAATGGGACCATTTTGTAATCAACAAAAGTGTGGTATCTCTTGTAATATAGGAAAGATATACAAAAAAATGTTTTCCTGTTTGAATTTTTTTTTTTTTTTTTTTTTTTTTTTTTTTTATCAGCAGCTAAGCCATGCCAATTGACAGTTCAGGTATAAGGAAATTTTTGTTAGTTTCAGAGACTTCCCATTAATACCGAGGTAGCTAAGAAGTGGGATGCATGTATCTTTCATAAATTCTTTGAGTGATTTGGGGTAATCCAATTTGAAATTTTGTTTAATCACTACTGATGAATGCAGTTCACTTTCACTATTCTAGGGTACCACCTATGAAGGTAGAGGTAAGAATCTCACCTACTTTGTTCACCTACCACCCCTACTACTACTACTATTATATTTAATAATACACATGGACTTATTGATATTGTTTGTTCCTTTTGCTCAGCTAATTTTGAAACCACAATCATGATGAAGCAATACAATGAACAATCCAGTTCTCTCACCAGACTAGAAATTTATCCTAACTTTGGGATGATATTGATGTTGCCTTTGCCTCCTATCCCTTGTCATTTGATCACTATTTGAATAATATAAGAAAAGGACCAGTAATCTTCTTTCCAATTGTTTACTTAGTCCCATAGATAAATTTTCTAGCAATATTCTTCATGAATTTTACACCTGATTTGAGTAATTCATTTGAATTGGGCCCATATGTGGTTAACAAATACAGAGTATGACAGCTAGTATCCTTTCATCTAGTTCCAAAAGTGCCTGCTGGAAATATATGCAAAATCTCTAGATTACTTTTCTTTTCTTTTTTTCCTGAAACCTATTTTCTCACCTCATTAAAACTTTCCAACCCATTATCTGTATTAAGATTAGCAGCAGCTCTAATAGCTAGCTCTCTAAACTTATTTAAATAATCTTCCTTCCCTTTTGAAATTTCTGGAAAAACATGCATCATGAAATTGATTGGCTAATTTATTCATTTTTATATGGACCAAAGAACCTTTGGTTGCTGCTGTATATGAACAGTTACTTTCATATTTGCTAAATTTTCATTCACTATACTTTCCAGTTCAGAGAAAGAACCCTTGTCTGATTAGAGTACAAGTAAGGTCATTTCTACAGAAGTAAAATCTTTGAGCAAGATAATGTCTTGCTTCATTAAATTCTAACTGTATTACTTTGAGAAAGCAGTTGCAAGAAAGCACTTGATTTGTAAACTTTACAGTCTTAAAAAAATCTATGTTCATCTTTATATGGTGACAACAGCAATTGATTAACTTAAATGAAGTAACCATTAACAATAGTTTGTTTTTGTACACCAGCAAGATATATATTCTTGTAGAATTTCCTGTGGATATTATCTTTCAAAATTAACTTTTTTCTCTCCTTTCAACAACTATTTAAAGAATCAAACTCTTCTTAATAAATAGCCAAGTGTGCATTATAGAGAAATGTTTGCAACTTGGATAATGATATTTATACCTTGTTAATCATCAAATTAATCTCTAAGAGTTAGTAATGAACATTACTCCTCACAAATCTTTTTCTTTTTTCTTTTCATATCATTTGTTATATCACCTAAATGTAAAACTTTGGTATTTAAAGAAATATTTTTAGTGTTGAACTCCTCATTTTTGTTTTGTTTTGTGCTAACTTGGCAGTATTTCTCATTCAATAATCTGTGGTTAATGTGTTCAGTTATATATATATATATATATATATAATGTGTAGAATATTTTATTGTGAGGTGTATCCTGTTACTTTTCTATTTATAGTGGTTGCCAAGACAACATTGTCAATAAGTAGACATCTTTTATAATCCTATTTCTGTTTCCCTGTTATGGGGTTGCCATTGGCAAAGCAAATCATTATTTATAAATTAATGGCAATTTACACAGAAGTAGTGATCTGTTGGTACTGCCAATGGCTTAAGAAAAAGTAATTAAATCAATGAATAAAAGTTTAAATATCTTTAAAGTTTAAATTTGTTATCTTTGCAAGAAACTAGCATGTATCTAGTTGTAAAATAAAATATTTTACAGGCTTGTGTGGGAACTTATTTCCAAAACTTTTTCTTTGTTAAAAATTTAATTATAAAATATTTTATTTAATAAAAGTAAAGTATCTAAAGAACATAAATAATAAAAAGAATTTTAAAACAGTTTTACATTCAGATCCAGTTTTGTTTTTGTTTTTTTACAAGTATAAAGTTTCAACTGATTTTATTTCTTCATGTGCTTGTATAAATTTTATCTTATATAAATATTGAGAATAATATGCAAATTACATGATGCTGTTTTATATAAACTGTAAACAATTTTTGAAACAAATTTTTCTATATAGTAGGCAAAAATTTTTATATCCATATTTACTTCCATACAAATTTCACACACACACATATATATATATATATATATATACACACATTTTCTTCAAATGTTTGGAGTTCCTTAATGGTCTGTATTTGGCAACTTGTTGAAAGAGAAGAATATATGATCACCAAATTGTTTCCAAGAGAAATCATTTTTGATTCAAGTCCATAAAATATTTAAACCAAGTCTGATCTACTTTGCAAATGAAAACTGGTTATGAAATAGGTAGGATAGGAGGGATGGATTTCATAATTAATTCGGGGTATAAAAATGCAGAATGTAATCTATGCACCTCCACTAATTTTTGATACCTAAAGTTTAGAATGAATTTTTATAAATGAAAAAGCTTTCATTTTCACTTTAATTGAAAGGTATGTCCAAAAATTTGCTAAAAAAGAGCATACCCTGATGAAAAAGGCCCCAAACTTGATTAAACAATTTTTTAATTGTCTAATTGTTTGTCATTAAGTGGAAAGACCAAAGTATTTTTTAAAAAATTTTTAATCCTTTCTAGCACATCCAAAATTTTCGCTAATTTTTTTTCAAGTTTTTCAAGTAAATTTTGATCATTTACATAAAAAAAATCAATCATGTCAGCCATTATTAAGTTTTGTAAAAAGTGAAATTCTCCATTTAAAAATCTTGTAAAATTCAATTATACTTTTTTCAAAAGCTCTTTTAGGAAAATTAGAAAATTTAAAGTATACTTAATGTAATTTGAAAGAAACATTACATACATTTTTAGCAGAAAATTTTTTAAGAGACATGTCCAACTGTGATGTGATTTGTTTTGGGAGGTGTGAATTGACATACATCAATATATCGACAACTTACATTAGGAATTTATCAGATGGTAGGCCAGAAGTGATAAAATTTGAGCTAATTTTAAGTGAACCTGGTTAGTAGTTAAAAAAAAAAAAAAAAAAGAAATACACTTTCAAAAAGTTAATTTTTTTTTTTTTTTTTTTTTACCTTATGTTTGAAGAAGAATTCTGGAATAAAAAATAACATTTAAAATCTAAAAAATACATTTAGAACTCAAATTTTATAAAAAACGAAAAAAGTAACCTAATTGTACACCTATTATAATTCCCCCCCCCCTCCTTAAAATAGCAAATTAGTACCCTTTTTACTCGCCTCTCATCTTGGTGTAATTCTTTGTATTAAAACATCTTCCAAAAATAAAATATAATTTTCTGAAACTTTCAGGAATAGTAGCTGATTTAAAGTATAATTAACTTTTAACCAGACTAAAATGTTTAAGCTTTGCAACAATTATTTACTTGAAAAATTTTCAATAATCATTAGTTTGAATAATCTGGACATTTGGTTTTCTTTAATCATTTGTAAAGACAGTTTTTCCTCACTACTTGAAGCCAGATTAACAAGTACTTGGCTTCCGAAATTTTCAAAAAATACAGCATGTCTGTTGTGAAAGAAATGGTTAATAAATTTTTTTTTTTTTAGATGTTGGGGTATTATAATTATTGATTTATTCAAACTATTGTTCTTAATTGTTATACAAAACCTATCCAGAAAATATTGAGCCATTTTGAAACTCGAGAACAATTTCCATCATCTTTTTGATGTAATTTGGAAGCCAATCAGAGATGAGCTTACTTCACTATTCCATGAAGTTGACATTGAGATTTGGTATTTCCTATCTGCCCAAAATGGTTGGTATCTAGTTGAAGAGGTGTGTGTTTGTCTGTCTGAAAATTTCAAATGAGTTTTGTGAAAACACATTGCTTATCAGGTTCAGATTAATCTATTGAATTAAGATATATTTATACTCATTAAATATTCAAACATTTTATAACATGACAATATTGAAGTTCAAATGTTTTAATTTTTTATTTTTCTTATACATAGTTTCACATAAAAGACATTTTTGTAAAATTCTAGAAAATCAAATAAACTCTACAAACCCAAAAATGTTCATTAGTGTGTGTGTATTAAATCACTATACAATAATAATTCCTAATCTCAAATAAAATTTTTGAAGTTTTTCCTTTTCAATTTTTTATATAATTTTTTTGATATTTTTTTTTCTATTCTTTTTATCAACTTAATATCTTCATTATCAGTTTTAAGATAAATTATAAAATAACTTGTCATAGTTTGAGATTCAATGAGAGAGCCCAAACTTTGGAAAAATGCAAAGTTTCTGCCTTTTAACAGCCTTGTTTTAGTATCTTTTCACTTTTAAATATCACTTTCCTGGTTGACAATTTTTTTTTTTTTTTTTTTTTTGCAGACAAGGCATTCCATAGAGAAAGTGATAGAATGGGAAAATAGTCATTTATATCGTAAGGTAAGTAATAACAGAACTTAAAATTTTTAACAATGTTTTGAAAATATTTAACCCAGAGTTTGATCCACTCAGCTGTGAGGCTAGGAAAATGTATTTCACTGCTTGGAAAATGTATTTCACTGCTTGGAAAAGTCTCACTTTGAAAGTTAGCTTTCAAAATCTGGCTCTATACTTGAACTCAAATGTAGATAAACTGTACATGTAGGAAATACACAACTATGGCATTATATAAAAACATTAAAGCCATCAGCTTAATTAAATCCAATTATTTCTGATGGGGCTTAAATCATTTAAAAACTTCTTTACATTTAAAAAGCAATCTAAACTCGGAAGTTTTCTAGATTAACTTTTTCTTTTCTTCTCTTTTCTCTCCAAACATCCTGAAACACTTGTACAAATTAAGTGCTTAGAAACGTTAACATTTTGTTCATTATTTTTTTGTTGTGATTTAACAATGTACTTAGATTGTAAGCATACTCTTATATGCTCTCCAAGCTAATTTTTCATGTGTATAAGTAAACTTGTGCAGATAGTTACAAATGCCTGTGATTTTTTTTGATAATGATAGTTTGGGGTTCATAATATTTGTTGCTAAGGAACTGTTCCACTGCTATTTTGTTTTTGTCTTTAGCACTGCAGTTGAGTTAGGAGAGAGAGCTAATGTTATACAGTACAACTCATTCACAATAATATTCCATATTTTTCTCTTTAAATGGAATTTAGGATTTTAATTTTACATTAGAGACATTTAAAACAAATGGATTAGTAAATATGACTTAACATTTTATATGTATCTCAAATTTCCTGACTTAATTTGATTTGAAATGGGTCATTAAAAGATGTCTTGATAAGTTTAGCCATGAAGATTTAAAACAACTTTGTCTATATGTTTAACTTTGGGTCATTCCATATCATCACTGTACTCTCACCCTAAAAAAAATAAATTCTATGTGTTTCTATACCAGAGTGTTGGAAAATCTCATATTTTAAGCCTGTATTTTATGCATTTTCTTGAATGAGCTTTTCATTCAATTTCTGTCATTCATTGTTCCTTCAGTAACATGTACAGCTTTGAAACTAGAATTGACATTTTCTGTAAACTTCAAAACTGTAGTCAGATCAGGTGTGCTGTACTAAAAGATGTCATTTCAAAGTTTCTCACTCAAACACAATGTTAGGTAAACGCCATTTATACATTATATGTATGCATTAACATTTCTCAGTTACAGGAGTGTTACATATTCTCATTTGACTATGTGGGTAGTTAAAATTTCATATTTTGACCCTGTATTCTTTCATATATGAAGATGATATTAAGTTTTGAGCTGTTGGGTTTCCATCAGAAGTTAATAGAAAAAAAAAAATTAAAGATTGACCTTTTTATAACAAGTAAAGCTAAAATTTGTGATTTACAAAATTCTTGCACATTATACACTAAATTAACCCTTTTGAAATATAACTTTTTTTTCTTAACTGAAGGACCTTTTTAAAGTTATCCAGATACCTTAGGAGAAACTGAATTTGTCTTCATTGTTTTTATATTTCTTGATAAATATTTATATATTTTAATTTTATAATCAGTATACCTTGCTCACTTAGCATTGACTAATTCAATTGATGTACATATGACTTCAGTGCCCTGGCTGGTGAGATATCACTAGTCAGACTGATAGCTGATTTATAATGTTAAAATTTTAACTATATTGTTTTATATTTCAGCTTGGCTTGCATTGGCGGTTAAGTAAACAGCGCTGTGATTCTAGTAGTATGATGGAATATGTAAGTTTACAAGATTACTTCATTAGTATTTTGTAAAGGCTTAAAAATATCTTAATTTTTTCTGTTTAATATTTTACAATACACAAAATTATACTTCTGAATTTAACTATATAAAACAATGCACAAAAATTATACATACTATCTCATTTTTTTTCTTTTTAGATGTTTTAAAAACATGTGGTATAATGGCTTGTGTTAACTTTTATACTCCTGTTAAAATCCCTACCTATAACTTGATATATAGAATGGAATTTGTTAGTTCAAAAGATTTTGACACAAGGATTTGTGCTGCTTTCACATAGATTTGTTGAATATATATTCTTCGTTCGGAATCTCTTCAAACTCTCAACAATTCATTCTGTTGCTATAAAGAACTCTGTTACATTTAGTAGTTTCAATAACTTAGACAATTCTGAAATTTCTCTAATTAGAGTATGCTGGTTTACATACAGCAGCTTCTCATCCCAACCAAGAAGTTCTTCCAAAAACATTGATCCTATCTTAGAAAGTGGGTCAGGCTGAGAAGTTTTCACCACCCCACTTGTCTAAGAAGAAAACTTTAAATGCAAAGATTATAATTAATGTTTTTTATTTAAACTGGATCTTAAATACACATCAGTTTACAAAGTTTTATTTCATGATAAACACTAGCACTGTTTACTAAATTTTATAAATGAAATTGATAAATTATTATGGAATACTAATGTTTTTAAAAAATTAAATTTGTACATTTTTTTTTCTTTTTCAACAGTAACATAATTTATTAGAAATACCATGAAAATTTCATGGCTTTACTATTTTAATTTTCTGATGAATTGTAATTCTTAAGTTATTGCTTGAATAGCCTCTTTGCAAGTTTTGGCTTATGGCCAGATCACGTTGAAATGTTCCCATATGATCATCAAAGTTAAGCAACTTTGAGCCCAGTCAGTACCTTAATGGGTGACTGCTTGGGAATTCCAGGTGCTTTAAGCTTGGTGTGCAGGTGATGTAATGGATAATAGCTTGGAATTGTTAATTAGACAGCTGACTTCCAATTCCAGTTGTGGGGGGGTGTCATTGTTTTCACTTAGATACAAATACCCTTGGGAAAGGTATGAATCCACCTCTTCTCTCTCCCCCAGCTATCGATTAATTAATAAAACTTGTATCACTAAATCATTATCTCAAAAAATAAATTACACTAGAAAAATATTTTCTGGCTTTAAATTGCCTGCAAAGAGTTAGGCTCTAAAAAAAAAAAAAAAATGATCAATCAATCTTTGCAAGTTTTATGACTATTAAATGCCCACGGAAATTTCCCTATTTCATTGTTAGATATTTCAGCTTAACAACTTTAACCAAATATTGCAATAACAATTGAATGTATGAATGCAGGTCATCATTTAAGGAAGTAAGAGGGTACAAATAAAAAGATTTGAAATTGGCAAATTTTTCCATTTCCTTCAAACAGATGGTAAACACATCAGAATGATATCACCTCTTACTTTTGTTTTTCTCACTGAAATCAAACAGCATTTCTCTTTCCTCATAATTAAAACAGAATAGTCTATTATTTATGAGGTACTGGCAGTGTGTAATGTATGTGCTAACAAATTATAATATGAGAGTTGTTTAATTTATGCTTTTTTTTTTTTTTCTTTTTTAAGAACACTTTTCATGCTATTTTTCTTTTGTTTTTACAGGTGCTGATGATAGAATTTATTCCAAAAATTCCAATATTTCGACCTGACTGAATGTTTATTTTGTTTCTTTAATGTTTTTGTTTTTATACATATATATTTTTTTCTTGTGGGTGGGGAGCTACTACCATCGTTGAAAAGTCTTTCATCATGATTGTCAACGGGTTCCATTGGACAATAAAACCAAATTTTCCTTTTTGTTAAATTGACTCTGCTGCTGCTATGACCAGCTGGCTAGCCGGCAACCACCTGGCTGCTGCTCTGGTGTTTATTGAATGTTAAAAGCAAAACTTAGTACAATATGTAACTGCTTGGACAAACTCAAGAAAGAGAGAGAACGAGCAGATGGGTCTGCTTGTTTTATAATCACTGCTTTTCTCGTTCTCTCTCTCTCCCCATATATATATATATATATATATATATATATATATATATATATATATAATGCTCTCTCTCAAGATGTCGTAGCTGGGCTACTTTTCTTAAACTCACACTTCTATTTCCCACTCAATAATGCTACATTCTGGAATTCAAGCAGTGAGAATACATGGAACATTCAACTGATATTGTCATCTCCATATATTTAACTTATCATAAAAATAATGAAAACCCAATGTTTTCCATCCTCCCACTTTTCTCTCTGCCCCACCACATCACACTACTATTTTTTTTTTTTTTTTTTTTTTTTTTTTTTTTTTGTAATCTTTCTCTTTCTGTATTTCCTTTGCTCATTTTCTCTTCTTTTTACCCTTTCTATATTTTCTTTCATTTGTGCTCATGCATACCCTGCTCCATTTTCTTTTTTCCATTTCAGTTTCTAGTTTTTAATTTAAAATCTTAGCAAGACAGACAATTTTGGCCACATGTAAAATTTATTCTTTCCTTACTTTTCTCTCTTTTTGACTCAAAACAAAGAAGAATTATTGCTTCGGTTTTTTTGTTTTCAGCACACATTCAGAATTAACTTCTAGACAAGTACATTACATTTTGTGTTATCAAAAAATGTTAGTATGCTAAATATATTTATTTCTAAACAATTTTTTTCACACCTTTCCAATATTTGGAGATTTTAAGTCTTTAGAATTTCTTTATTCATTATCTTAAAGCCAAATGACTCCAGTTTCCCTATTAAATCATAAACTTCAATAAAATCTTTTAAAGCACAAATGGCAAATTGCAGCACAACTTGAACCCATTGTTTTGTTAAATTATCACTTTATTCTATTTTTTATTTTTTTCTTCAAGCTGAAATTTAAACATACAAAAAATTTTGATCTCATTACATTCACGATTTTATTCATATTTCTCGAATACATCTGAAGTACTGCTTGAGTTTTTTTTTTTTTTTTTTTTTTTTGTATATAATGAAAAAGGAATGAATGACTAAAACAAATGTCTTACTGTTTTGTTAATCTGAGTTATGTTCCCTTTCAATTTCTATCAGTTATCAATTTTCGTTTTGTCAAACTAAAAAAAATTTTAATATTGATTTTCATTTACTTTCATGATTATTCAAAAAAATTATTTAAAATCCCTAATTGTATACTTAATTTTTTTTATTTATCAAACTTGTCAATTATCTCACTGTTTCGTTTTTGTTTTCACAAAAAATTCTGCTAAAATTCAAAATAAGTTTACATTTTAAAATTCTATGCACAGACATAAAAACTGACTACTAATTTTACTAAATTATGCAAGATTGCTCAAGACTTTATACCTCTCGTTTCAAATATCACACCGGAATTTTTTTAAATAAACAAAATGTTACAAAAGTAAATTCCATTTATTAAATTAAGTTTAGTTTTTAACCTTTGTAAACTTATGTTTTACTGTTCCGAATGTTCAGTTTTATAATAAAGTTCATAATTTGCAGGCCGAGTGAATATTTATTTTTTTATTTTTTTTTAAACTGAATAACTCTGATTCTGCATTATAGTTAGACTTTTGTTTCACAATGTTAGATTCCCAAATTCACAGACTAGATTTGTTAGTGATGTGTGATCTGTTAAGAGTAAAATTGTTTGGAAGTTCTGTAACCGTTCTCTTATTTGCTTTTTGTCCCACAATCACCCTAATTCAAGATTGGGCTCTGATCTCCTATATATTACACTGTATAATCTTAGAAAAAGCATATCTAGTATGGAGTATAAGTTAAAATATATATCTGTAAGGTTACCCAATGTTGTCAAAGTGATGAACATTAGAATTTGACTAATTTTGGTCTTTCTGATTCACACTCAATATGGAACTTTAATTCTAAAAGAAAAGTGAAAAGAAAAATATGGAAAACGTCATTACAAATTCATAATGTCAACCTGTTTGTTCTAATTTCTTATAGTGGCAAATCAATTCTACCTGACATGTTATCTAATTACAAAAGGTCAGGATTGCATTTTTACTTTTTCTCTTTGAATTCTATTAATCCAGTGCTGAGTTACATTGTTTCGTTTATAAAACCTTGAAATGCAGTAATAAACAAATGCAATTATTTTTAAACAAATATGTTATATCTTGAAAATATTTTCAGCTTCTATTGCTAGAGAAGCAGAAAATCACATGTATACATTTACAGAACTTTTAACTTTGTCCAGAATAAATTTCATGTTAATTCACAATTTAAATATGAACCTTGCTACAAAAAAAAAAAAAAAAAAACTGTTGGCAAAAGCAATTTTGCAAACTGTCATTTGAGAGACAAAACTTCTTGTTAAATCAATATATCTATGCACACCCATAGTGGAGAAAAAAAGAAAAACCTTAGTGGTACAGGTCTCTGAGAAGTCTATTAACATTACTCATAAAAAAAAAAACATTCTTCTGCCATTTGTATTTTCTTTTTCAAGCATGATAGAAATTTACTAAAAAAATTCATTCTTTTGCATGTCTCATCCTTCTCTGAAAAATCTACACTGCAGTTTTCATGATTGTCACTCGGATTTCTTTTGCAGAATATACCAACCTCTTGTAATGTTTTTAAATGTAATGAATTTACTTTCATATTAGATATTATCTATTTGCAGTCTTCACATTTCAAACTTAATATTTTAGTAACTACAATGGGATTAAATGTAAGAATTTTGCTATACATGTTAAGTTTATTATTAAAACCTTCTTTACAAATCTTAACAAGCTGATTTTTATATATATATATATATATATATATATAATGATGAAGATGGGTTGGTCAGAAATGTTCAGTGTGAGTGCAAATGCATATTCATAAAAAAGAAAAACGAGAATACAACATTGTTAATTATTACCAGTTTGTGAGTATTTTTTCTTTTCACTTCATTTTTGTTGCATTTCACTAAAACCCTGGGTGCTCTTGCACTCTTCCAAGTAACATGGATTGAAAATGAACACATTTAAAAAGAAAATGGCCACTTCTGACAAGATTTGAAGTATCAGCTCTTCTCGCAGGGAACTTGTTTGACTGTGATAGCACCTTACCAATTAGGTTACAAAAGCAAACTAGCAGAAATCATTCAAATTCAGTTTGTTTTTTTAGCAATAAAAATAAGATGAAAAAATTATACAAATTGATAATGATAATACTTCATCTAAAAATATTAAAAAAAAAAAAAAAAGTTAAATTTAAGATGTGGATAATTCACAAGATTATATGAATACTGAATCTAGCACTGTTTCCATCAATTTTTTTTTTTTTATATTTCTATTGAGAAACATTGTGTTCTCTCATTTTATACCAGAATAAAAACTGAAGAATAAAATTCCCTCATTACCTATTTCAAAAGAAAAGGCAGGTTGTAAGTGTTGCTGCATCATGAAACTTAATTCAGAATGATATTAAGTATCCAAGGTTTAATGCAGCTTATGATATGTTTGTTTGTTTTTTTCCCACCTCCATTTCATATTTATAAATATGCAGAAATAAATTTAAAGATATCTCTTTAAAAGTGAGAAGTGAGATAAACAAATTTTTTAGCATCATTGTTTCACATGTACAATTGCTGAGTACTTGATTCAGATTTTGTTTTTCTTCTTTTACTCCTATTGTATAATCACTTTCAACAAGTCCTTTATTATGATCTCGTATATTTTAATTTATAAGGGATTAAATTATTTGCTCATATTTTATTACATGTATATCTTTGGATATTTGCATGGTTTAAGAGATTTTTTTTTCTGAAAAGATTAAATTTTTCTATTCTTATTTGTATATTTAATCCTAGTTTTGATTTGTTGTATTTCTTTCACAATTTTTTTTTTTTTTTAAATGTGAAGACTTTGCCTATAATAAATACAAAAAAAAAAAAAAATAAAATAACTGAAGCTCTCAAAATCATAACCAGGAATCTGAAAACTTCAGTATTTTAACAGAAAAATTAAAGCAGTGTAACAATTTAATAGTCTTAACAAAATGTGTATGGGTGAATTTTTTTTTTTAAATTTTTTTTGTTTCTTGCCTAAATTCTTAAATAAACCTTGCCACTTACTGCCAAGTTATTGGCAATGACAATCTGTCATATTATACATACACACTTCACATTTTATAATATCACTTGAAATTAAGTTTCATTGTTGTCTCCAGCCCATATTTTTTCTTCTTTGTTACTGAGTTATTGTTAGTCTCTATATGATTAACCCAATTAAAAGAAAAAAAAACTCAAGACTCATGTTTGTACATTGGAAGTTAAAAGCAATAAAACTCCCTAAACAATTAAAATTTGTTTCCCTACCTCTAAAAGATTTATATCAGAGACAGTAGATATTACTTTTACTTCTTAACTATAACATTTCAACTTCAAAATGGAACAATCAACTTCAAATAGAGAAAATGTCAAAAACCTAAAAACAATCAACTTCAAATTGAGATTTTTTTTTTTTTTTTTTTTTTTTTGGTAAATTGAAAATTTTTCAATTAATTTACCCCATGAGTAAGGAAATTGACAGTCCGTCTTTATTATATAAAAAAACAAAATACAAACAACTTAGAAGCCAAGAAAGCATTGGGTGAGCCTACAGTAAAAGTAGGAGGAGAAAGTCCCATATGAGCAAAAATGATGATTGATGATGCTGGAGAAACCTCTACA